AGCAACACACAAAACTTTTTAGTCACATCCAAGTATAATTACAGGCAGAACCCTGTCCATAAGCTGCTCTAGTAGAAATCTTTCACAGAAAATAACTAAATCTTGAAACTAGGAGCAGCTACCCCAGACTGCTACTTCCTCTGTAGGTGCAGACAGGGTGAGGAACTAGGCAGGCTGACGCACGTGATCCCACAAGATGCTGTGTCTTCAGTGAGATACAGCATTCCTTCAACTCCAGCAAACATTAGCTAGAGTTACAGATGTTCAATACATCACATAAACAGGTCTATAAACTCTGGTAGAGTTTTGCACATTCCTTACCTGAATATGAAAGACACTTAAGTGAAATGAGGCAGGATAATTAGGACTGTTCACACTCTACCATAAACCAAGGGCCATGTCTTGTTGAACCTTCTTTTAACCTGAAATCCACGATATGGATCAATAGCATATTGCCATGAAAATTATGGTATGAAGGTTTTGGGTTGTTTGTTTTGTTTAGGTTTTTTTTGGTTTGTTTTTTAATTTTATACAACCATAAGACAGAAGGAAAAAAAGAATTCTAATGAATAAAAACAAAGTAATCTGGAAACATAAGATGGAGATGGAGACAAAATTTGACGGTGGCAAAACCTATTTTGCCACCCATCCTTATAGCCCTCTCCCAGCATGCAGTCAACAAACAGTAAGCATTTTGGTCATGACAGGAAAACATTTCACAAAGGCTCTCTACGTTTCAAGAGGACATAAATTGAATTTTTAATAAAATGGTAGTCTCAAAGCTATTCAAAAGATTGCATTTTGAAAAGAGAAAGAAAACTGTATTTAAACAAAATTCTATAGAACTGTTGCCCAAAGAACTAACAGAAAGCTTGAAATGTGACACAGAAGAAAGACATGCAAAGTATTGTGACATTGCTGCCATTTCACAAGTTAGTACTTCAAGAAGAATGAATGAGATGTAAATATTTACCCTAGGTAGCTAGACTGAAGAATGCAAACAGATTCCATAGATATAAAACAATTTGTCAATATCTTTACTGCTGGAAATGGAAATGTTAACTCCTGGAGGCCACTGATCCTGAAAGATGAGTATAATCAATTACATTTTTTACCTGTCAGTCATTCACATCATTGGCTTTCTTGCAGCTGACTGCTCCCTAGCCTTCCATTTCTTGTTTCAAGGCACTGAACAACTTTTTATATCTGCTTTTCACTCAGTCTTTTTCACAGATTCCCTACTGCCATCTCAGGTTAACACTGCTTGTTCCAGAGCTAGTCTGTTTTCTTCCCCTGTTTTCTCAGTGTTGCCTGTGTCCCCTGTCTCCCATCTCAGAAAGGTGGCCCTTCTGGTCCCTAAGTGTCATCTTAAATCTCATTCTTCCTCAAGGTCCAAAAATGTTAACACCTCTTACAACATGATCCAAAGCTCACTGAAGTCAGCAAAAGCCTTTTCCTTAACTTCAATGGATTCAACGAATCAGGACCAGATTGCTGTCAATAGCTCTGGACTGAAATTTAGCGAGAAAAAACAACAAAATAAAGTGTATGTGTACCCTTGTTGTTAATTACAGACTGCTACCCGAACATAGTCATGGCAATACTATATCTTAGGTTAATACCACCTGTACTATTTCCAGTATATTTTCTCCAGTCCTTATGAAAAGAACTATGGCCTTATATTGCTGTATCTTTATCTGTACAAATTTGGAGTTATGCCAAAGACTTCTGACAGTTCTTGAATAAATAAGCATACACTAGTTCCTATCACTTCCTTTATATACTATAAAATACCATTCTACATTGACCTAGGTAAAACAGGAAAACTGTCATGTTTATGAACCAGGTTAGTAAATCCTTATAAAAAAATTGAGTTAAAATGGTTTAGTAGAGTGACAGAGTATTCAGAAAGCACAGTGAAAAGTTTAAAGCCAGCATGTTTTAAATTCTCACTAGTGAGGATGTACAATGCTATTCCTGTAAGGAACCTCTGCCTAATGCTGTGCTATTAATCTAACAGCAATTTGAAGAAAAAGCATTCCAGAAATCAACAATAACACCGTGACTCTCTTTCATTCTTCTTGCCTTCATTCATTAACACTGTTACTTATTCCCTCTTCATGTCATTCTCCTTGACTCTTACAACCTCATATCTCTAAAGCATACATTTTATAAGGAAAGATTAGAATAAATTGCTTTTGCCCACCTTTCCTTCTCCTACCACTTGTTAAATTTTTTTTAAGTGCCTTGTTGTAAAACCAGTGCTTTTCTGCAATCCCAAGGCACTCCCACCAAGTGGTATAGGGAAATCAGTTCTAACAGACAATTTAGGAGATCGAAATGAGTAAAATAATTAAGATACACAACCACTATGTAGCAGATTCTGTTCATGTAATGGGAAAAGCTATCATCATCAAACAGCAACTATTGCCTGTATAAAGCTAAAACATTACACATTTATTAAAAGGTATCCTGTGGTTTGAGGTTATTTCAATAGTAATTACAATTCACATTTTTTCCCTATACTGTACAAAACAAGGTACTTTAGGGGAGGGGATAAGAGTAACACTGGCTATCACCACATAACTTTGCCAAGTGTATTAGAAAGTACAAAGCCAGTTAGATGACCTTTGCTGAGAGGGTGCAGTTTTGTGGGTAGAGGTTTGGGGAGTTTTTTGTTAGTTTTTGTTTTTTGTTTTTTTTTTTAAGATATTTATGCTGATACTTTCATTATAATGAAGTACACTCCACCCTCACAGTTTCAGCTATCGGAGGCAATTGTTTGTAGAAATGAAGTTACTGTTGTAACAAGGTTGCTTATGACACTGTTTAATATAAAAAAAAAAAAAAAAAAAGAACACAGTACATTGATAGGGGGTGGAGCGTATCGTAGATACAAAAGAGGGGTATTACTTCTCTTCTGTTGTCTGACATTGATGTGGGAAGAGAGGACAAAAACAAATGCATTTTCTTTCCAGCACTGAAACATGCAAAGACAAAATGCTCATTACAAGTTGTATGCAGCTCAGAATAATAATAAAAAGAAATGCCCCGGTATACTTGTTTTAATTTTTGAAAGATATATATATTTAATTCTCTGATATTTCAATTCAAAACTTAGAATTAAGCAATGAGTGAACAAGATCTGAAATACAGACAAGGCATTGCTCACATCACATTAAAAGGTATCTTTTAAATGCTGCTGTGGATTTCTAAACTTACATTCAGAATTTTTAGTTGCTGGGAATTTGAAATGCAAGATGAACTTGGCCACATTACATCTACTTCCTTTAAGTGGAAGAGTAAATATGCAATAAATTGCTGTTTCAAAGAGGCAACATGCAGAATTCAAAATTATTTGTTTCTTGCAGGATTCTGTTGACCTGTGCATGAAGAGGTGTTGAAGCAGTGGTGCAGTGAGAATCACTACAGCGATACAAATCCACAGCTCAAGCATGAGATCCTAGAGGCTGGATCTCCAAGGAGCAACACAGAGTATACTGTTCTCCAAAATACACCACTTCTTTTAACCAATGAATTTAGTTTGAGGAAAACTGCTGCTCACCAACTTTTCTTTTTTTTCAGAAGAGAAAAGGCAGGAAGGGTGGGAGAAGGGAAGAGGTGGAAAGAGCTTATGCATTATGACAACATTTAGCAGGGAGCTGTAAACAGAAAGAAAAGCAAATATTTTAAATGTGATAGATTTCAACCAGAAATATGAAAGTATTTTCCTCTGTAAGTTACTTGCCAGAGTCGGTTGGGACAACATTTGAGTTGCAGCTACAGGTTGAAGCAACATACTGAGAAACAAAACAAACAGGCATTTATCCTCCACCCCAACACCCCCTTCCTCTCCCAGTTCACAAAGTATGACTGATTCTTTTGGTTGACTGCAAGGCAAGTATTAGCTAGAATCTCATTAAGCTCGATCCACAACCACGGTCCCAGATGTTTAAAACGTATCATGGATTAAAGCCATGAAATAAAAATTAAAGAAATTTCAATTTGAAATTTTATTGGCATGTTGCTAGAATGGTCAACATCAATCGACAGGAGAGACTTTGTCCACGTACTCTGAGAACAGCCTTCCTGCACCTCCCCCCTTTTCTTCCTCCCTCTCGCTCTTTCAGCATTAATGCTATTAAAAGCCAAACAAAATACTGGCTATGGGCGTAAAGAATGCTGGTTTTCTTGGAATGTTGCCATGGATCCTGCTTCCAGTCGTGTCCCACGGAAGGAAGGTGCAGCCTCCTGTCTCTGTGGCAGGCTGGTCTCCCCGGGCAGGGCAGAAAGAAGATAGCCATGTACTCCTGCTCCTCCCTATTCTTTCCCATCTACTATAGCCAGGTCTTTGATCACTCTCAGTTTGCCACTGGCATCGATCCTGCGCTTCTCGCGTATTAGATCCTCCAGGCTGTGGAACCTCACCGTGTGCACCTTGTTCTCTGCCAAGTGGATCTTGAGATAGTACTGCTGCTGGTGCTGGGTGCCGGCAGCCGCCTGCAGCTCCCCCCCGGCTTTGAACTCCCGTTTCCCGAAGCGGCACCAGGCGGCGAAGCTCTCGGAGTTAGTCCAGCAGATCTCGTCGCTTTTTAAGCCCAGGTGCCCGCAGGCGTTCTGCACCACCAGCTCCGCCACCAGCGGGCGGAAGCGGTACCAGCTATTCACCACCCGGCCCACGTTGCCCGCGGCCGCCTCGTACAAGCTGTCCTGGCGGATCTGCCCCTGGTGCAGGTGGATGATCTGCCCGCCGCCCACGTACACTGCCCAGTGCGGCGGCGGGTGCTCCGACGGCCCCAGGTAGAGCAGCTCCAGCAGGTCCCCCGGCTTGCAGAGGGCAGGCAGGGCTGACACGGAGTAGACGCTGAGGTCCCCAGCCTGGGGGCCGCTGCTGACCTTGGAGAAGATGCATTCCTGGCCGCGGAAAGCGGAGAACTGGGTCTCGTTCAGCACCAGCTGGTGGTGGAGGTGGTGGGTGGGCGTCTCCTGGCCAGGGCTGCCGGAGCCCTTCACGCCGTACTTGTCTGGCTGGCCTCGCTCGTCCAGGTCCTCCTCCTCATCCGAAAAGAAGTAAGCCACCCCGACGCGTAGCTCGTCCTTCTCGATCCCCGAGGGGTCCCCGGTCGGCAGCTCGCTGTAATTCAGGTGGGTGATGCGATCCAGTTGATTTCCCATCAATGACAGGGCGAGGCGAGGGCAGGAATCGCCGGATCTGAAAGAGGGTGGGGTGGGCATAGACAGAGAACAAGAGATGGGAAGGAGAGTGCAAGCGGAGGGAAGAAAGAACGAAAGAAAAAAAAATAAATCAAGGCACATACAAAAGACTTCAGCGATTCCGCCCTAAGCCCCTATCCCTCCCCCACTGCTTCCCTCCCCTCCGTGCAAAGGATAAACTTCCAGTGCGGATCCTTCCCCCTGCCCCCGGGGTGCGGGGCAGGGCAGAGCCCCGACTCTCGGCACTCTCCCCACGGTACCGGAGCGCCCGGCTCCCAGCGGCGGCAGAGGAGGAGGCTCCCGCCGCCCGCCAGCGCCGCGCGGGGGAACCGAGCTGCCCCGGGAGTCTTCTCTCCCCGCCCTGCGAGGGAGAGAGCTCCGGGAGGGTCTGGCCGGAGGGTCCCAAGCCCTCCCTTCCGCCAGCACAGCCGAGCCGAGCCGCTTGCGGGGAGGCGGCTGGAGGAGCCCCCGGGGCTGGCACCCCTGCCCGCCCGCTCCCCACAGCCCGCCCGGGACCCGGCAAAGAACAGGGAAAGAGCAGGAGAGCAGCACCCCCACACCCGAGGGGTCCCCCCCGTACCCCTCCGTACCCGTGGTCGCCCAGCGCCAGAACCCCCCCAAACTCCTTTAAAGTCGTCCTGTCCCCATGGGCGCCGCAGAAGGACGCGAGCTCTGTCCTCCCCGCTACATCCACCGCCGCCCGGCTCCTCCACCCGCGCCGCTCTGGGCGGCCCGGCCCCTCCGGCGGCCCTAAGTACCGGCGGCGCCGCTGCCGAGCCCGCCCCTGCCCCGCTCATTGGCCGCGCCGCGCCCGGCGCTGCCGGGGCTGGGCCGCCTCACGGCCCCGCCGGGCCTCGGACCGCGACCCGCGCCTGCCCCGGGGCTGCACAGGCGGGAAAAGGGTGTTAGACTCCCGCGCGAAGCCGCTGTAAAACCAACCCCTGTACCAGAGGAAATAAAAAAGAAATTTTTTAAAAAGTCATTTTCATCCCTCTACCCCGCCCAGGTTCAGCAGGTGGGGCGGTGTGGCCAAGGGTTGCTCTGTCCCTCGAGGCTGGAGGTGGGTGCGCCCTCACCTCTCTTCAGCGACCTCAGGTTGTACCTGAGCGATTTAAGCTGATAAGCCTGGGTTTCCCTTTGGTGAGGAGAAGACAGGCATTTCCAGGGGCTTTTCCTCTTGGTTGTTGTTCCTCCTGTTTTAGGAATTACCCTAAGGGAGGTGCCTTGCCATTGTATCTTGCCATCGCCTAGATGTGAGCTTGGAATGTTTGATGGTTGGCATTAGGTGAAATGATTCTATTTATCTTTCCACATCTGAACGAAGTAGCGGTTGTGGGTTGTCCTCAGATGTGACTGTGTCCGCAGACATTCTATGGTTTAAGTAAAATATGAGACTGCCTGACAGTAGCAGTCCATTCCTTTGGAAAATGTATGAAGTCTAAAATCCATCACCTGTAGTAGCCAATAACAATGCACACTAAACCATCTAATTTTGCATATTATGGAAATGGAACTCAGAAATTATTAGTCCATTTGACCACCCTTCTCCCATGAGTTTTTGTCAAAGATGGGATTGTAACTTGGTTCTTCTGACTTCTTAGTCTTCTGCTCTAACCATGCGAACTTCTGAAAAGTGAGAATTTAAATATTTTAAGACACTTCATGAAAAAATTTAATGACATCTTTGGTTCAGATGTGAATCATATTAAAGTACCATTTTTAGCTAGAAGTAAATCTACTACTTTCTTCACAGTGGAAATAGTTTTGTCATCTAGATATAAGTATTTCTGCTTTCAGTATTTCAGTGGATAATATCTCTCTTCACTGCTGTCCTTTTCCCAGTCTTCAGGTTTAATTAACTGAGAACAATAATACCATCACTTTATTCTTGTGATAGAGAGAAGTACATCCTTAAATAAATATAGTGAATTTCAGTTTCTCAGGGTACAAGCTGTATAACCAAGTTCAAATGGATCAAATACTGAGTTTCTTAGAAAAATGACCCTTTTCCTTAGCTATTCAAATATTGATATAGCTGTTTTTCTAGAAGGGCATCTCTTTGTTCTCATCATTTTTTTAACATATGCAAAGGCATCACAACATAAATGGAAGAGAAAAAAGGGTGGTTTTAGTGACATTCAAAGACTGGCATTAGTTATTTTTTCACTGTGGCAATTATACTAATCTGTTGATGGTTACAGACTTCCCATGTCTCATACACCTCGGGCTACGGCCAGAGACTTACAGGAATTAAGCTGATTTACAGCAGTTAAGAATGTAGCATTCAGGGTCTGTAAAACTAGAAAGTTAATTTGAAAAAAAAAAAGAAAAATATTTTCTAAAATATGCATTTTAAACTTTCACAGGACTGAGTATAACAGATGGATGTTATTTATTTCTGGAATTGTGTAAATACTTTTCTAATGATTGTCAGAAATTATATGTTCTTTTACAGCATGACCCTCCTCAACTGCAACATTTTAAATTAAATTATGAAAACACTCTAATAGGGTTAGAGTTAAGGTTGTAAACCAGTGTTTAAATATTTTGACTTTTTTTGATAACTGTTCATGTGCTTCATTGTTAAAGCTAGTCCAAATTGAAAGCCATTTTCCATAGACCTTCATCAACAGTTTCTGTTTTCTAAACACTTTACTTTTTTTCCCGTTTAAAGTCTGCATCTTTCTAGGTTGCACTCGCACAGTTCACACTTCCCACATTTGCCAATCATCAAGGCTATGTGGAGTAATTTTTAGATAGTTCTAAACAAACAAAACATTATTTCATCCTTTCCGTGCAACATAGCAGAGAACAGACTGCTTCAGCAGTTGCAGGTGCAGAAGGATGGAGTCTGGGTATAAGAAAGGCTCTGTACTTCTAACTAGGTGGAATAACTACTGCCAAATTTTAACCATTTTTTGGGGGGCCTTCTGTGCTTTTGCAAGTCTGATCAGTGAGGGTATTATGTCTCTTGCTGAAACACTTACAATCTTTTACAATCTGTCTCTCTCCATGACCTCTATTCAACACAACTCCAACACCCATTTTCTCATTTCGTTTTAGTTCTCTTCATGCTCTGCCTCCACTCCTCAAGAAGAACTTTTCCCTCAGCTTCTCTTCAATCACAGTTTTGAATTAATACATGTCAAGAAGTTGCCTTAGAAAAAACCCAGAAAACACGTCAACCAACAAACCAACAGCCCCCCAAAACTTATAAGCATACTTATATATAATTGTGATTAAAACAAACATCTCACTACTGGAGATGTTTGTTTTGCCTGAACTAATGTGATTAATAGGTTTATCATCTCCTTTAGATATTTAACTTCAGGGAGCTCACAGGGTCTTATTTAGCAAGGCAGTGAATGCAGGCTTGGCTGCTCTCAGATGATGGCACTGGCAGTGCAGCATCACTGTTCATACTCCCATTGACCAGCTTCAGCCTCATTAACCAGGGTCATAATCTCTCCTTGCACCAGGACATGGGAATTGCAATTCTACTAACCCTAGTTCATTGTTACTAACCCTAGCAATTTTTTCTGCCTTCCAAGCAAAGGAAAGAAATCTGATAATATTTCTAGTTCTGTCCTGGTCTACTCTGAGGGAGTGAATTTACATTTTTCTATTGCTATTTTTTCTTTTTGTGCCTTTTTCCATCCTTGGCATTTTGTCACTGTTGCATTTATGTTTAATTTAATACAGTGAAAAACTCTTAAAATATGTAACAAAATAGATACCCAGTAGCTTATTTTTTAAAACCTTATTTTTTAAATGTTCTTATCATCCTGCCTTGAGCTGAGGGAGCTTTGGACCCCTGTTGCTAAAAGTGGAGCTGAAACCACCATTGATTTTAATGAGTGGAGAACATTTTGTGCAGAAAAATTTAGGAAAATATGTTTCAAAAAACAACCAGAGATAAAATAAGTGATGATAAGGAAGGGAACTTTCCTATCTGTTATAAAGTTTAGATTGTTGAAATCAGTCCATTACAATTCAGTTGATGTTGAATCTCAGATGCCTGGAAGCTCTGTTTCAGCTTGCAGTTTGGACTGCCCATAGGTACCCAGACACAAAGGGTATCAGGAAGGATCTTCTTCACCTGAAATTCTCTAGAGTGGCATACTCCATATGTATTTCTTCTGTGCATATACCTTTATTACCGTTTCAGTGTACCTAAGGCCTCAGAGACATAGGATGCTGGTCCTTTGAGGAGCCTGTCATCTGAACTACAACAAAAGTCAGTGGTAGAGTTGCTCACTTTTTGCAAACAGCTCTGCATACATGTTGTCCACATACCATGCAGGATCTGAGATATTGTGGATAAACATGTGCCCTGCTGTTGGGTAAACATGTGCCTTGGTAGCCATATAGCAGCAGGTACACTGCACAACTAAGTACAGTTTCTCCATCTAACTAATCTGGGACAGTCATGAGATTTTGGATAGGCTGAGGGAGCTGGGCCTATTCAGCCTTGAGACTACTGAGGGGGACTTCAAATATCTGAAGGGAGGGTGTCAAGAGGATGGAGCCAGGCTCTTCTCAGTGGTGCCCTGCAATAGGAACAAGAGGCAACAGGCAGAAACTGATGCACAGGAAATTCCACCTGAACACGAGGAAGAACTTTACAGTGTGAATGCCCAAGCACTGGAACAGGCTGCCCAGAGAGGTTTTGGAGTCTCCCTCAGTGGAGATATTCAAGAACCATTTGAACTCAATTCTTTGCTATGTTCTTTAGGATGACCCTGCTTGAGCAGGGATGTTGGACTAGATGACCCACACTGGCCGTTTACAACCTTACCTATTCTGTTATTCTGTGATTTTGGTTCTTTAGCCTTGGACAGCTTTTGTTTGCCATTTTTATCCAGTGGTGGATAACTCAATCAAGAAGATAATTGTGGTTGTTTTTTCCTGTTGCCTCTTTTCTACTCTTC